ATACAGAAGGTTCACAAAACTCTTGTTTTCAACTTTATCATCGCCCAACAGATTTTATTTCGACAATTCCACCAGGCCTCTTTCACTGACATGGCCAAGTCTATTGTGCCATAAGTCATTCTTCGACACAGGTTTTGTGGATGCCACATATGCGGAACCATTTATGCCCTTAGCCTCAACAGTATACAAGACTTATTTCTTCACGCCTCTCAAGACTTTCTTCGACCTCTTCATTACCCTTAGGATGTTTTGCTCTCCTTTGAAAACATATAATTTCTTTTCAAATTTACCAAGAGAAATCATATTCCTCTTAAGATCAGGTACATACATGACATCAGTCAATAGCCTTATTGACTCATCATGGAACAACATGCACTTCACCCTTCCTAGAATGGTTCAATTAAATCTTTCATCCAAACCATTTTGTTGGGGAGTCCCTGCAATAGTTCTATTCATTGCAATGCAATATGCAACACAATAGTGGTCGAAAGCCTTATTTCAAAATTCAAGACATTTGTCGGTCCTCAACCTCTTGACGTTCCTGCTAGTTTGGTTTTCGACCAGAGTCTTCCAACTTTTGAAATTTTTAAAAGTTTCATCCTTAGTCTTCTAAATGAATACCCATAATTTTCTGGAGTAATCATCAACTATGGATAGAAAATACTTTGCACTTGAGTGTGAAGGATCCTTACAGGTCCCCAAAGATTAGCATGAATGTAATCAAGGGATCCATGTGTTCTTTGTTTACCTTTGTTAAACTTCATTTTACAGAATTTACCAAATACAGAAGGTTCACAAAACTCTTGTTTTGAACTTTATCATCGCCCAACAGATTTTATTTCGACAATTCCACCAGGCCTCTTTCACTGACATGGCCAAGTCTATTGTGCCATAAGTCATTCTTCGACACAGGTTTTGTGGATGCCACATATGCGAAACCATTTATGCCCTTAGCCTCAACAGTATACAAGACTTATTTCTTCACGCCTCTCAAGACTTTCTTCGACCTCTTCATTACCCTTAGGATGTTTTGCTCTCCTTTGAAAACATATAATTTCTTTTCAAATTTACCAAGAGAAATCATATTCCTCTTAAGATCAGGTACATACATGACATCAGTCAATAGCCTTATTGACTCATCATGGAACAACATGCACTTCACCCTTCCTAGAATGGTTCAATTAAATCTTTCATCCAAACCATTTTGTTGGGGAGTCCCTGCAATAGTTCTATTCATTGCAATGCAATATGCAACACAATAGTGGTCGAAAGCCTTATTTCAAAATTCAAGACATTTGTCGGTCCTCAACCTCTTGACGTTCCTGCTAGTTTGGTTTTCGACCAGAGTCTTCCAACTTTTGAAATTTTTAAAAGTTTCATCCTTAGTCTTCTAAATGAATACCCATAATTTTCTGGAGTAATCATCAACTATGGATAGAAAATACTTTGCACTTGAGTCTGAAGGATTCCTTACAGGTCCCCAAATATTAGCATGAATGTAATCAAGGGATCCATGTGTTCTTTGTTTACCTTTGTTAAACTTCATTTTACAGAATTTACCAAATACAGAAGGTTCACAAAACTCTTGTTTTCAACTTTATCATCGCCCAACAGATTTTATTTCGACAATTCCACCAGGCCTCTTTCACTGACATGGCCAAGTCTATTGTGCCATAAGTCATTCTTCGACACAGGTTTTGTGGATGCCACATATGCGGAACCATTTATGCCCTTAGCCTCAACAGTATACAAGACTTATTTCTTCACGCCTCTCAAGACTTTCTTCGACCTCTTCATTACCCTTAGGATGTTTTGCTCTCCTTTGAAAACATATAATTTCTTTTCAAATTTACCAAGAAAAATCAAATTCCTCTTAAGATCAGGTACATACCTGACATCAGTCAATAGCCTTATTGACTCATCATGGAACTTGAATCTCACAGATCCAATACCTATAATTTTGCAAGATTTGTAGTTTCCCAGTAGCAATGATCCACCATCTTGATCACATAATTCTTAAAACACATTTGTGTTTGGGTTCATGTGCCTAGTACACCCTGAATCCATAAGCCACTCCTTGCTAGAGTCACTGCTTGAAATCATCAGGTCATCAGATGATTCATAACCATCTTGCACAATGGTTGCATTACCATTATCTTTTCCACCGTGATTATTCAGTCGATCGGGGCATACTTTTCTTGTATGACCCTCCTTCTTACAATGATAAAACTTAATATTATGAGCATTACCACCATAAGAATTCTATAAAACTTTACCCTTCTTCTTCTTCTCAAACCTACCATCTTTCTTCAAGAATTTCCCCTTGACAAACAAACCTTCACCAATAGAAGATGGCTTGTACTCCTTTCGTTCATTCAAATCCTTAGAGTACAAGGGATATTAAACATATTCAAAGGTCAACCACTCTCTTCCATACAAGAGAGTTTCTTTGAAGTAAGCTTGAGACTTAGGTAAAGAGCACAACAGCAACAACGCTTGATCTTTATCATCAATCTTGACCTCAATATTTTAAAGATCAAGAGTTAACTTGTTGAACATATCCAACTACTCAGCAAAGGATTTATTTTCACTCATCTTGAATGAATACATAACTTGATTTAGGTAGAGACGATTAACCAACGATTTTGTCATGTACAAACTTTCAAGTTTCGTCCACACACCCACTGCAGTTTTCTCCTTTGAAACCTGCCGGAGAACCTTATCACCAAGGCTTAATACAATGGCATTGTGGGCTTTTTTGACCATCGTTGTCTTTTCCTTCTCCGATAGGGCAGCGTCCATCTTCTATGGTCCTTTCAATGCTTCTAACAAACCCTGTTAAACAAGAAGGACTTGCATATTCAAGTGCCACAAACTGAAATCATTCACACTAGTGAATTTCTTAATCTCATACTTTATTGACAACAACTGCTCCTCCACACTCACCGTATCAGTTTGTTGTGAATTTATATTGTCAAGAACAAACTAAAATATGAGAAAAAGATTGGGTTTCTTGAACAAGCAGAAGAAACCCTATTAGGTTTTACAAGAGACAAAGAAGAAGGAAGAAAAAGAATAAGAATTGGTTAAATTTGTTTTACTATTCATTTACTCAATAAGGGTTCAAAGATTACAAGTGAATACCAGCGATTAACCTCTGTCAACAACCTGAGAGAACTAGTCTATTTATAGACTACTAAGCTAACTTAACAACTAGGCTTACAAGCAAGGCCAAATTCGACATGTTAACCTAAATAACAAGGTAACATAAATCTGCATGCAAGAACGACCTTCAACTACTGCATGCGCAACTCCTGTTTAACCATGAAACTATCCTTGTCGACACTAGAGTTCGATCTAAATATCACACTTTTAATATGAATGGTGGAAATGTCTCACGTGCTTGAAATGTGAATAAGAAGTAAAGAAATGAGTTTACTGTTTTCGTGTTGCATGTTTTGTAACAATTTTTCTTGATCCATACGAGTTGGAGAAGATATGTTGGAGTTTTGTGAAGAAATTGTGTGCAAAAGTTAATAAATATACGGATAAGGCGTGAGAGAGATGTTAGGATTTTGCATTAGGAGAGTTGTCGATATTTTGTATAGAAATGAGAAAAGTTTTACTTATATATGTAATACTTTTCACCACTATTGATAGTATCAACCGTGATGAAATGTCTATAATTTTTACATCGGTTGCTTTTATATATTATGGTGAAAAATAATTTAATTTTAATATAAACATAAAAAAATATAGGGGATATGCCCTTTTTGTTAAGAAAAGTAGAAAATTATTGCTACTAAAATTCAAAAATGTATCACACCTTATCTATGATCACACTTGTTAAATTTGACTATAGCGAAAAATATTTTAGTAAATAATAAATAAAAAATGTATGAAGATGAGTTATTATTTTAATCGAATAAATGGTCGAATTAAAAAAATGCTATAAAATATAATATATATTTTATAGAAGTGTTTAAATGTTGGCTCTAAAGGTTGGAGGTGTCTTATATTCTCAAACTAATGAATTAGTGAAGATGATGAAGATGTTGAATATGAGACTATTCTAAATCTTATTTTAATAAAAAATTAAGTTGAGGTATGGGATATGAATTCTAATAAACTCGATTTAATATGTTCTCTAAAGAAAAAGAATCCAAAGTAAAAACTCCTTTAACAATCCCATTATACACGATAATGCTATTAATTATTAATTAATCATATCCCATTCTCCTGTTAGTTTCTCTTTTTTCGTTGAAAACTGAAAACCCCTTTTAATATATTATTGTTTGTAAAAAAATCATTAGAGCAATATCCCAAATCACGTTATTACAATATTATAATCAATCAAATCCAATGTAAAGCTTGAATACACGCAACAACATACTATTCATGCATCTTTTCATCTTCACGTACCACGTAAATTTACACACGTGCTTTTAAACATGTTTTTAAATTGTGTTAGCCAAATCGAAATACAATTTTTTATTGTCACTCAATAAAAATATATTATTTTATTATATTATATAATTAATTTAAAAAGAGATTAATTATATATATTTTCGGTCGAGTATAGCAATTGTGAGTAATATGAATAATAGTTTCATATTGATTAAAAACGTAGAGACATTAATATTTATAAATTAGAGAATTCACACGCATATTATCTTTATTGTGAAAAATTTTATACTATTAATTTATCATCATCATCTATTTGTATTTTTTTTATAAATAATTAAATTCTTTTCAATATCTAACGTTTATGATTCTTTGATATACAGCCAAAAAGTATTTTACATATTGTCTCAGCATGATTCATTTTTGCGTTGTCATTAAAATTTAAAAGTAATAAAACAAGATATGATAAAATATAATATTGGAACATAATTTATCTTCTATATATAGTGTGATAACCTTTCATTTCCCACACACAAAACACAAACAGACATTTTGCAATCAAATAATTAAGTCCAACTTTCTTTTTCCACAACCCTATGGCCACTCAAGATCTTAACAACCCACCAGTTACGGTGTCTAGAATTGGCATCATAGGTGCTGGTGTCAGTGGCATAGCCGTAGCAAAACAACTATCAAACTACAACCCTGTTGTTTTTGAAGCCACTGACTCAATTGGTGGTGTTTGGAGACATTGTTCCTATAGGTGTACTAAGCTTCAATCACAAACATGGAACTATGAGTTCAGTGATTTCCCTTGGCCTGAGAGGGACAATTCTGATTACCCTACTCATGCTGAGATTCTGGCGTATTTGCATACTTATGCAGTTCGTTTCGATTTGTTTAAGTATGTTAAGTTCAATTCCAAAGTCGTGGAAATCAAGTTTATTCGGGACAAAGATGGTTTTGATTTCGGACGTTTGCCGAATGATCACGGGAATCCGCTTCCCGCTCGTCCCGTCTGGGAGGTTTCAGTTCAGACTAATGAATTGAACACTTTTCAGGTCTTTATTTTCTTTTAATTCATGATCTAATTCTAAACTTACCCTGACCTATTTAATAATAATCCAGACTTCGAGAAGAAAATAATATTTGCGATCACAATAAGTTACAATGTCAATATTTTATGATGATTTGTGACCAGGATTGATTGCAGTTAGAATCTAAAGACTACCTGAACAAAATTTTGAAAATAAAATGCAGAATGAAGAGTATGAAACAACCAGAGAACTTTACATAAAGGAGTAAACATGCATGGAATAAAAGTATTTTGAATTTGTCCATATGAACTAATTGACCTTGTTTGTCCCTTTTAAGGTGTCCTCTCTTGTTTCTCGGATAGAAACATAATATTTTTTATCTTAAAATATTTATTATTTTATTTTATCAATACAATTTTAATTATTTTTATTTTTTAATTGTGTCATCTAATTAATAAATGTAAATTTTTTTTCTCACTTTATATTAATGCTAGTTCAAATATATAAATAATTAATAAAGATAATTTAATAAAATTATTATTCTATTTATTACGGTTTTTAATCTGTGTAAAAATATTAAATATGACACTTATTTTAAAAAACAGTCATTATATGCATGGATAAAATTTGGTAACAAATTGAAAGAATAAATAAGAAAAGAAAAATTCACTTTTGCACCCTTGTTTTAAAATAGAAAATCCTTCACTTCTTTTACTTGCTATTTTGTATAAATGATTGAATTGAGAAAACTAAGAATTTTACTTTGGCAAGTTGATTTTTCAGCGGTACGAGTTCGAGTTTGTAGTGATTTGTACTGGAAAATATGGTGACATACCATTGATGCCAACATTTCCACGTAACAAGGGACCTGAAGTGTTCAATGGTAAGGTTCTGCATAGTATTGATTATTGTAAACTTGACAAAGAAGCTACTAGTGATCTTGTTAAGGGAAAGAAGGTTGTTGTCGTTGGTTACAAAAAATCAGCTATTGATCTAGCTCTCGAGTGTGCACAGGCAAACCAAGGTAACAACAAATTCTCTAACATGCTTTCTATATTTTATTATATATATTTATTGGTTTGTTAACTTAACATTACCCATTCTTTTATTAATATTTTATACCAATTATTTGTCAGATTTCATATGCGATTTAATCCAAACTTCAATTATTTATTCTCGTTCAAAATAATATAAGCTTTCATAATGAATTATGACAAGCGTTGGATTAAAATAAAAGCACTTATTACAAGCGTTGCACCATGCGCTAATTGATTGGGTACTACCAAGGTAACAATAAGTGATTATTTGTCTGATTTTATATACATTTTAAGCAAACTTCAAATTAACTATGTAAGTTTTACTATAGTATAGTATGATAGGAATGATACTATATATTTACTATACTATGATAGAAATGATAATCAATTATTACAAGGGTTGCAACATGGGCTAATTGATAGGTTAATTTAATCTTTTTTTTAAGGAGGGTTGATCCTTTATTTTAGAATAGTTTACTTTAACTTTTATTGAATCTTTCTTTCAACTTAAATAATTACAACTATTGAGTCTTTCTTTCAACTTAAATAATTAAGTTTATGGATTATCTTATTTTCAATGATAATCAAAATCGGATCCTACGTTGAATAGTTTACTTATGGATTTAAAATTTTAAGATTATATTGGAATGTGCAAGAGTAATTATATTTTTAGAATAGTATAAGAAAATTTATTGATAATTTTATAATAATTAAAACTTTATAGTTATTTAATCTTTTATAACATTTTATTTTTAAAATATTATATTTAATTATTTTAAAATATTCAAAAGTTATCAATAAATAAAATAACTCAAAAGTGTCTAAAATGTCGTGATTTTTTTTTATAAAATGCAATTTACTCTATAATAAAGTAATTAATTTTAATTTTTACACAAAAAAAGTTAAATAACATTTCAAAATTAAAAGTAATGAGTCAATACACGGCTTAAGACTTCCATTTTAATATAATAATAGTAATAAATTAATAATTTGCTATTGTTATATAAAATTCAATTCCATTCATCAAATAAATAAAAGAACAGTGTAATTGACAATAGTTTTTACTTTGGTTTTTTTAATTTGGTTTCTATACACTAGTGTGTATCAGAGTGATTAGAAAAGAAAGAAGAATACTCAATCTGACCTTAGAAATGGTTTAAAACTCCGTTTTTCGGTTTTTTTTACCGGTTTTCAACTGATTTTTTTAGTTTAAATTCCGATTCTTGCTAGGGTTTCGATTTTTGATTCGATCGGTTGAACCGCCAAGTCCAGACTGGCTTTGATTACCATGCTTATTTTTGCATTTTTTATATATTTTTTTAAACTCGTTTATTTTTTCTTTTCCACTCTTAAATTAGAAGGATGATAATAAGAATAGTTGTTGTAACTTGTTTATGAAGGACCTGAAGGGCAACCATGCACAATGATAATAAGAAGTTTGCATTGGACACTTCCCCATTATCAGATGTGGGGAGTTCCATTTTTCTTGTTCTATGCAACAAGATCTGCACAGTTCCTTCATCAAACACCAAATCAGGGTTTACTCAAATCCCTCTTATGCCTCCTATTATCTCCCATGGTAAACTAGACATGTATTTTGTTTATGAATTTATCTAGTAATTACCAAAGCTTTATTTACTAAATATTTTTTGGTGAATTATTGACATTGAACAGAGGCGTGGGATTTCAAAATTCATAGAGTCCTACTTGCTTTGGAAACAGCCAATGGAGAAGTATGGGCTGAAACCAGATCACCCTTTTGAGGAAGATTTTGCATCTTGTCAAATAGCTATAACACCAGAAAGTTTTTTCAATGAGGCTGATAAGGGAAAAATCATCTTTAAAAGAGCATCAAAGTGGTGGTTTTCAAATGATGGGGTTGAATTTGATGACAACACTAAAATAGATGCTGATGTTGTTGTTTTGGCAACTGGCTATGATGGAAGGAAGAAGCTCAAAGCCATTTTGCCAGAACCTTTCTGTAGCTTATTGGAATATCCTACTGGTACCATGCCACTTTACAGGTAAAGAGTTACTTGACATTTTTCTATTCAAAAATAAAACATTATTAACTCTCTGAGGATCTGGTTGGTCTCTTTGTCTTTTTTTTCTGTCGTTATAATATGGATATCTTAAAAAAATTGTTAATTATCACTAAATTCCAAAATAGAGCAACTTTTTTCTTTTTTTTGGATAAAACTTTTGTAGTAAAGTTAAGTAAATCACTAATTAATATAGAAAAATGATTATTTTTACATGGAACGCTGTGATTGATTAACGTTTTCACTCATCACTTGTGTTTTTCATATAATAAAAAATAGATTGTTTGATCCCTCATTAAAAAAATGACAGTGACACTAGTATATAGTATCTCATAAAGATTTTCTTGTATTAGAAAGCTCTTTTGACTAGTACATAATAAGTTATCATATTAATAAATAATTATTATTAAAAAGAGCATAATGAGCTACCCAACCCCAAATGCAACTAAATAATTTGACACAGATAAATTATTCAAACAAAAATGATAAAATGAGAATGAGGTATTAATAATTAGGGGTGACAAACATATTCGATTCGTCCGGCATATCTGTTTTTCGCGTATGAGACAAAATTTTAAATCTATACTCTCTAATATGTTCATCCTTCTCCACTCCATTTTATTCCCGCTTTTACAAACTTTGATATTAACACAAGATTTTACATTTTTAGATTTAGATATTCTGTTCTACCTTTTTTTTTTTTAAATTGGCATTCCCATTCGGTTCGCATTATTTTTTATAAGATATCTAAAAGTTTTATACAATGTTTTTTTCAAGGCCTGTTTACCACCCTACTAATAATAGAAATAATTTTATTCCAAGTTTCATTTTTTTAATTTCTCTATAGTTAAGAATGAATAGTCAAGTTATATTTATTAATGGCAGGGGAACGGTTCATCCATTGATTCCAAACATGGCCTTTGTGGGTTATGTTGAGAGTGTTTCAAATCTATACACTTCAGAGATACGTTCCATGTGGCTATCTGGACTACTTGATAACAAATTTAAGCTCCCAAGTGCTGATAAGATGCTTTCACAGACAATTAAGGACATGGAAACAATGAAAAAGTCTACCAGGTTTTATAAAAGAAACTGCATCACAACATTTGGTATCAACCACAACGATGAAATTTGCGAAGATTTGGGTTGGAGTACTTGGAGGAAGAAGAGCTTGATCAAAGAAGCATTCACTCCTTACACTGCTTTTGACTATAAGAAGGAAGATTGAGATTTTTATATGGTTCTTAATCTATGCTATTTTGTTGTCGCATTTCATAATAAGAATTTGTGTAATAAAAATAACTGATGTGTGTTTGGTGTTCTTTAAAACTAGAATGAATAAATGATGCACTAGTTTTTCTTACCCTTAAATTTTTAAAATGTGTGAGAACCTGTGTTCAACTACACTTGGATTTTGTGTTCTATAAAAGTAGTTCAAACAATTGAATCTTTCTCATATAGTGGTGACTGATCATTAAATATCTACAAATTCAAACGTAGAAATAAATTTAAACAAGTATCTAGTAAAACAACAAATGGCATTATTTTCACTAAACATTTATAGTAACAAAAGGTTACGTGATCAAATTTCAGAACAATACGGTCCGAATGATAGTTGGAGAAAAATAGATGAGATGGAAAGAAGTCAAATAGTTACGGATAAAGGAATATTAAGAAAAACTAAAATAAGTTATTAAGATCTGATATTGTGGATCTGAATAGGGGTACTCAAATAAATAGGTTATTTAAATAATTCATATTTATATTTAAATTCGATTATTAAAAATCGGTTAATTACAAGTGAATATAAATAGTTTTAAAATTCAATTTATGTTTTATTTATATATTATGTTATTTTAAATTAATTTTAAATGAACTTTAAAGTTTTTTTTAAAACGATGAAATTAATAAAGCGAGTATAAGAAATCCTCGAATCCTAAAAGAAAGAAACCAACAAAACTACACCCGTTTCAAACAATTTGAAGTTAATAATACTCAACCAAATTTTAGATACAAAATATTGATGCTTTAAAATTTAAGCTTATATTAAAAGTGGAAAAATAGGTTGATTCTCTGAGTGGATCCATTTAAATTTTTATTTTAAGCGTGTTGATTTTAAAAAAATAAATAAATAACTATGACCAAATTATCCTACCATTATATTTTCACTCTTACAAATTATTTTATCAAAATTATGTACTAGCATATGCATAATTATATGTAAAGATATTATAATGATTTTTGGAAATTTAATTTCACTTAAATTATTATGTTTCATATGATTTATTTTATAATACTATATTATTGGTATTGTTTGATTTGATATAGATAATGGAAGATTGATCCCCTTACAAATAATATATTAGGTACAAAGAATTTGAAAATATAAATAGATTGTGACATGATGTGATATGAGATTGCATGTCCTCCTGCAAATGAAATCAAAATTTTAATTGAATTTTTAGTTTTTAAGGAAGATTCACTACAAAAAAAAAATGTAATCACGTTATATTCACGTCACAACGTGAAAAACCACTTCACAATAGGTTTTTAGCGACATGAACTTTCACGCGGCAGAAGCATGTGTGGCAACTCTGTTGCGTCATGAAAATCACGTCGCAACTTTATCACGTGAAAATCATGTCGCAACAGTCTGCACATATTTTTCAACTTTACCTGTTGTAATTCAGTAGTAACAGGTGGTAGCAGTGATGGCAGAAAAGGTATAAGTAAGTTGTGACGTGATTTTCACATGACAAAGTTGTGAAGTGAAAATCACGTCACAAAATGTTTTCTTTTTTAAAATAAAAAACTATAATTGTTTTACGTTTTAATATACTAAAATTAATATTAAAAAAAGCTTTTAAATAAATACAAAATTAATAAGAAATTGTTTTTTAAGTATAAATTAATAATAAAAAATTTAAATAATAAGTTTATAATATACTAAAATGAATAATTAATATCTTACAAAAATTAAATTTTAAAATTAAAATAAAATAAATCATATTGATCATCGGGATCGGGAAACTCGTCAAGGTTAAGATCATCATCATCCTCGTCATCTATTTGTTCTTGACCATTAACTTCTTCATTTCCACCAGAAGCTTGATTACCACTCCCTTGTGATTTCATAAATTGTTGCATCATCTCCTCCATATCAGCTTGCCTCTTCTTCTTTGTCTCTATTTGACGTTGTTGCTCTTCTATTTGGGTCTCTAATGTCGCCTCACATTGCGCTGACTTTCGTCTCGCCTCAGTTAGCGACAATTGTCTTACTGTTTCTTGTATTTCGGGTGTCAATTATGGTGGATGTGACGTTCCTTCGCCATCTCTAACTATTTGAAATAACGTTCTATCCCCTTTTCTCAAACCTCCAGCCAAAGTTCCAACACCAAAAAAACACTCATTAGGTCCCTTTCCGTCATTTACTAAACCCCAAATATAAATTTCCACACGTGGATTAAGCGGCTCAGAACTCTTAGAGTATATTGAGGATTTTCAACAAAAATTTGTGTGAGCAATGTCTGATAACTCTTACACATACAATAAAAAAAATTAAGTTAAATATAGTTTAAACAACTTAAATTAAATTAAATTAAATAATAGATATAACCACGTGATTTTCACACCACAATATCTCTATTGTCACGTGAAAATCACGACACAAAGTTGTCATTAAATAAAAAAGTATAAATAATTTAAATAAAATAAATAACTTACCAAAGTTTTTTTGGTACGTTCGTCAACAAATTCCCCCGATTTTTTTTGTTCGAGTCTTTATAACCAGTTCCTTCATGAGTGAGGTCTCCCCAAACTCTTTTCCTAAATAATAAAATTAACTTTAATTAAAAATATATAATAAATCAAAATATAACTTAAAAAGTAGTAATAATTACCATGCGTCAAGCATATTCGACAACACTTATACTTCCAATTGCATTAAGGCTACTCCCTTTTTCAGATGCTCTCATTTTCTTTACTTTTTCAGATCTTTCCTTAATACCAGTTGTATCCCAATAGATAAGAAGTTCATCAAATACTTCTTTATCTATCCAATTGGGACGAATATTTTCTCTTTCCCAATGCTTTCTAGCACGTCGTAGTATGTTAGAAAGTCGAACTGATGTTCTGCCAAAATAATTTTTTTTAACCTCTTTCTCATTCACTTTTTCTCACGTAAACTTTTCTTGCAATGTTGTATGACATTCAAATAAATAGTTGGATAATTATAATAAAAAAGTAATACACAAATAACTTAACAAATAAATTAAAAATAAATTAAATAACTTAACAAAAATAAATTAATTATACCTTAAATAACTTAAACCAAGCTTCTTTTTCTTCCCCATCAACATCTTTAAATCTCTTCCAAGCTTTTTTATACTCTTGTTGAATTACATAACTTATACATTGGGCAGCAGTCTGACTCGGCTTGAAACTAAACATCAATAATTTAAATTAGTATTAAATATAAGTTTATATAAAAAATGGAAACATGTACACTTAAATAAAAATTTATAACTTACGAGTTTTTGTTGGGCCAAATATAATATCTTCCTTCAATGATATGAACCACCTCATGATTGTCATCCTCCTCTTCATGATCGGCGTCCTCATCATGCACCTCATGATCGTCTTCATCTGACTCTTCATGATCATCCTCACGCACAAGTATATGTGTGGATGGTAAGGGTAAATGTATGGAATGTACGTCGTTGGTGAAGGTGGTGAAAGCGGTATCGTGGAGGTAATCGTCAACGCATGGGCTGGCCATGATCGATGGAAGTTGAGATGCTTTGATTCTTTGATTTATGAAGAAGAAAGAATGGGGAAGCAGAAGTTTTCCACAGACGGCACCACTGATATAACCAGACCAGAATGGGATCAGCAGCGAGCAATGCGTCGTGACCTCCTAGTTCGCCAATGGTGGTGAAGAGAAGGGGGTGTACCTGTAAGGTACTCTGATGCCAAAGTGAGAAACAGAGTAAGAGAAAGAAAGTACAGAAAAGCTAGTTGTGAATAGAATACTTGACCCTCTAGTGAAAGAGGGTACTTATAATGTGCCCCTACCGCTGGGCCAACGATTATTTTGCATTAGGTTGGATCACTAGGCCCAATACAAATAACTTCCAGGATCTACATGGCGTAGGGAAGACCAGCACTTGGTCTTTATCCTAGTCCAACTTCCCCGTGATCTTCGGAAGGTGGGTAACTTGTTCTTTCAGATACGGGTAGTTATCGGATGACGTGTCCCGTGTGGTGTAACACCCCACTTCCCAAATTAAATAATATATAAACATTATAAATAAACATCAGAGTTCTTCACCAAAATAGTGGGATATCACATCACCAAATTTTTATAAAAATACTTTATTCATCCTTTTCAAAAATATTACAGCGGAAAACATTATTCCAACATTCTCGGCCATCCGCCAGATTTCATAAAAATCTTTATTATTATAATTCACTAAAAATGTGATACGTCACAGGATTACAACAAATTTGACATAAAACAATTAAAGCACCCATATCCCGTGTTACGTATCAGAGCATCCTAGACTCGACTGACACACCACCATCCAAGCTATCTAAGTACCTGGATTATCTGTACTTCCGGAGAAGTACAGACACAACAACAACAAAGGGGTGAGAAATCATGATCAAAAATATAATGGTAATGTAGTACATGTAAATAAGGTAGTACAATACACCAACACCAATATTCACCCCAACAACGCCACACAACGAACCTACTGTTCAAATTACAATATAACATATTATAATGCAAAATGCAACTCAACACCATGCATGCGGTACCGACTCATTGGTTCATTCAATCGAACCTGGATAGATCACTTACGCTCCTCCTGAGACATGATCTATCCCCCACCATTCTCCACAAAGGAGTACGGATGAATCGCTTACGCTCCTCCTGAGACATGATTCATCCCACCAAAACACCATGATATGCAAGACACCAATGCATAATTATTATATTCTGGCACGCTAAGTGCACACGATCCTCCTGATCATATCATCATACAACAATGCATATGTATAGATATATTACACCAACACCATATAAATCAATCAGATAGTAAACGAATTCATACTATCACACCGGATATAACTACGTCCCCCCCCCCCACTCGGGGATACACGATCCTACTGATCACTACACACATATACATTAACTAATTGCTCACCAACAATATTAAGGGAAAC